AGGAAACAAGACTTCAAGACCACGGCCACACAGCCCGGAAGACCCACACCAGCCATCGACTCATGGGTTGATTTATTCTATGTCCATTTGTTCGTTTTCCTGGCTCTCCATAGCATTCTCAGGGGCCTTCTCCAACACCAAAGCTCAGAAGAGTCAACACACGCGTGCTTCTTCAAAGTCCAACTTTCACTTCCATAAGATATCACAGGAAAGCCATTCCCTGCATGATTCTGATCTTTGTAGGCATAGACACATCACAATATCTGAATATCTTTTCCAGTACCTTTATTGCTACCCTGCCAAGTTCTAGTCTGCAGCATACTTCTTGAGTCCTGGTTCCTTTAATTGTTTACATTCAATAAATATTAATATTGATGCAGTTAAGGAAATTATAACTTGTTTCACTCATGGCCTGGTCTACGATGAATACAACTTCATGGAGATATAGCAGAAAAAAAGATGTTGCCAGAGCATATTTGTATCAAGATTAATTTGAAAGTTGGAAGCTCTTCTCAGAATTCACTCCATGAGAGACTGCTGCATCTTTGCAGTAGCAACAACCCATTTTTTTTCACTCTATTGTCTGTTATTGTCTCTTAATTATCTTGTTAAGGCACTCTCACCTCAAAAGAGAGGTTCAAATTTGCTTCATGAAAACAATACTGTACTGTAAATCCTGGTAAGAGATTCTGGGTTTCTTACTCTGAGTCCAACTCCCAGAATCCCCCCTTTGTTATACAATGAGAGAAATGTAAAGGGTGTGTAATTCAGTACTTTTTTAAAAACAGGATTGACAATAATCAACATGTTTAATGGAGAAAGACAATGGATAATTGTCAGTCTTATGTCTTATATCTCTATTCAGAATATGCAAATTATCTCAAAATGAGTATATGGTCAACAAAATGGGAAGAGACGCAATTCCACAAGTGTGATGGTGAAATGGTGAGAATTAACAAGGAGTGTGATTGGGAGGGGTTTGTTATTGTTATTTAGTTCTACGATAAAAGCCTTTTTAGGAGAGAAGAACGATGGCTAGAGGAAATTATAGAAATTATAAAATTATGCATGACATTAGATACTTTAATCCTTTTCTAAAAATTTAGGACTTAGAGCAAACAGTAAAATGTACTGGCTGCATATAAACAATGTATTTTGCACGATGTATAATTAATGTAATTCACTACCATTGGAATCATAATTACTAGCCACAGAGTTGATATTAGTTCTGCCATTTAAAAGGGTTGAAACAATTTATGGATAATGAGTCCATTGGTGGCTATTACCTATAACAACTAAATGTGAAAGGGAGGAAATGGAGGGGTAGTACTGGCTTCTTGCTTATATAGTTAACCATATTTGAAAACGGAATGCAAGGCTAAATGGATCTTCATTCCAATCCAAGATCCAGTAGCGCCAGCTATAAAGTCCTAAAATGTATGAACAATATAATGTGGAAATCATTCTCAGTTCTCCTCCTGAAAGAAATTGCATGTAGGTGCATTTTAGAAAGAGATGCATCAGTTGTATGTTTTCTCCCTGAATCAGTATACGTGTTGCTTTTCCCACAGTACAGTTTTCTACTTGAGTCTTCTTTGTTTATAAGTTTCATTCCACATCCAGGACTAGTTCTTTATGATCAGTCCACTATGTATAATATACATGAATGTGCTACTTAGTCCTCTGGCAAATTATCTCTGCTGAAGCTGAAATCATTTTAAATCATTCCTTTCCATAACAACACTATCAATATTCCAGTATGATCCAAAATATTTGTGTGAATGGAAGTATGCTGAACTACAGTTTCACTTTTTCCATATGAGTGGTCATCTACTAAGATACTGGCTGTTAGGCTTTTTGCTGGTCAATGACCAAAATAAAGACTTGATTTGGCCACTGTTACTTTCCCAGATAAAAATTTAGAACTTTATTGGACAGTGAAATCCTACTACTAGGTGTGGAAATGAGGCTGGAAAATCTTCACTGAAAGTATCACTGTGCCTAACTATTACTGACTTCCACTGATGGGAGTAAGAAGCTAGGCAGATGTTTTCCCTACCTTTTTCTTTTGATCCTGTTGACTAATTGGGCAAAATTAACCACTTCAGCTCTTGGTCTGGTTTCTAGTTTTCTACCAGAATAATGAGGAAACCTAGAATCCTGCAGAACTTTGATTATGTTTAACAGCCTTCTTGCAAATCTTTCCCAGCAAATTATATCTGTTGAGAGAACAGTGACTTAGAAATGCTCTGTCTGCCTCTTTTTCTTTTCATTAAGATATTCCAGGTGAATTTTCAGCAGTGTTCCTTGTCCTCCTCAATGTACAGAGTGATCTAAATCATTGTTAGCCCTTCGAAGTAGTCCAGAAGCATGACTATGATTACTAGCTCTATCTTTATTGTAAGGTTGCATTAACAGAATTTTGCAAGTCTGAAAGTACCCCTCCCTCCCTTCACTTTTACTCTCCCCAAAACTAGGGAGGATACCTTCTGAGACACTTTTGCCACACCTCCTCTTTTGGATTCAAATTTTGTTTATCAGACTGTTGTCTAGGCTGTGGCTCTTCCTCCTGTCTCCCAAGGTCATTTCCATCTACCATTACAATCATCCAGTAATCTCTTGAGCAGACTTGTGGGAAATGTGTAAATCATTTTTTTCCACAAATCATGGTGGTTTTAGGAATTCAGCAAGAAAGCACTCTTTTGCCTTCAAAGAGAAGGAAAATGCATTGCTGGAACACAGAACATCAACCCTATAATTCAATTCAGTATCGTGAGTTCAGCAACCTATGAGTTATATGACGCCTGTTCCCCTGCTTCCAGAAATCACATTGTCAAAACTCAACAGCAAAATGAGAGTTTCAGTGGTATAATTTGGGGGTTTCTTTTTTCAAAAATAAAGATAGAAATAGAAATGAGAAGCCTCTAGAAGGCAAACCTCCATTTCCACCCTTAAGCTCTGCACTCCCCTCACCAAATCACATAGAATTTGTAAGGAAAAGTAATTCATGTTTGTTCTAATTCTTTATTGGTTCTGTTTTCTTGCTTGAGGTGATTAACATTCACACATAACAAAAAGGTAATGGTGAATTGCAGCTATATTTGGAAGTGGGGATAGAACAACCAAAGAAAAATCATTATTCGTTGCTGCTTAAGTGCTGTGTTGGTGAGTTTATTTACAGCCTTTAAATAACAACTTTGTTCATTTTCCAGTAACGAATAATAATCAGACAGTTCTCTTACCGTTTGGAATTTTTTTTTAAATAGCAGTGATTAGTTTTAATTTAGATACTGGGGGAGGGGGGAGAAATTGTTTTGTAGAATCGGCTTCTTTAACAGCTTTTCCAACACAACTCTTTAACGTAGAGTAGCTGCTACATTTTTTTCCCCAGAATCAAGCCCCAGTTTTGGTGTGAATTTGGTGAGTTATAATACCCCTAAGTGCGATTTGGGCCTGACTGGGGAAAAGAACTGCTTTTGAACCCCCTAAATCCCTAAATCCTTTAGAGCAGTGTTTTTCAAACTTGGCAACTTTAAGATGTGTGGGCTTCAACTCCCAGAATTGCCCAGCCAGCAGTGAGTTGAAGTCCACACAACACAAGGTTGCCAAGTTTAAAAAACACTGCTCTAAAGGATTTAGGGATTCATAAAAATGAGGACAGTCTGAACATTATTTTTAGAGAAATTTACCAAAAATAATAACTGTTCGTTTAGAACATGAATAATTTGAACATATCATGTTATAAGGAGGCTATTGTCTGGGCAGGTCCATCCTATAATAAACCTGTTGGTCTCTAAGATGCCAATGCATTGAATTGCATTTAGTTTAGCTTTATATTGCAGCATTAATTCTCTAGCAAATTACTAAATGAGAACACAGAAGCACACAATTCAAGACCATTTTTGGCATCTTAAACTAAAGAACTTTTTTTTTCTTTTGGCTAGCTTGCTAAATAACCCTTAATTTTCTGCCTTCCTTGCAGGGGGAGTGTTCCCAAAAGTGCCATGACATCTTTGTGCTGGAAACAGTCTGTGTGGCTTGGTTTTCTTTCGAGTTCATCTTGCGCACGATCCAGGCAGAGAGCAAGTGTGCCTTTTTGAAGACGCCACTCAACATTATAGACATTTTGGCCATCTTGCCTTTCTACATCTCTTTGATTGTAGATATGGCTTCTCCCAAAACCAGCAACAAGCCTGGGGGTGGGGGTGGAGGAGTTGGAAACAAGTACCTAGAGAGAGTGGGCCTGGTGCTGCGCACCCTGCGAGCCCTTCGTATCCTGTACGTCATGCGCTTGGCAAGGCATTCCCTGGGATTGCAGACCCTGGGACTCACTGTGCGCCGCTGCACACGGGAATTTGGACTCCTCCTTCTTTTCCTTTGTGTTGCCATGGCGTTCTTTTCACCACTCGTTTACTTGGCAGAAAACGAAATGGGTGCCAAGCATGAATTCACTAGTGTTCCCAGCAGTTACTGGTGGGCTGTAATATCCATGACAACTGTTGGCTACGGTGACATGGTGCCTCGTAGTATTCCGGGGCAGGTAGTAGCCCTAAGCAGTATCTTGAGTGGCATCCTGCTCATGGCTTTTCCTGTCACTTCCATTTTCCACACTTTCTCGCGCTCGTACATAGAGCTTAAGGAAGAACAGCAGCGAGCTGCTAATAGGCAACTTCATGAACTGGAAGAAAGCAACAACCTCCCACAAGACAGCAGCTCTCAGGAAGGAGATTCCTCCTCTTCACAGGGGAGTGATGGAGCAGCGATTCAGGCTGCAATGGAACAAGGGACGAAGAATTGCTGACACAAATGAAATTGGAATCTTGCACGAAGTGCAGAGGAAAAGTGGATGGAGGGGCATTTATGTCTTAAAGTAATTACCAAACTGCTTATCTCCTTTTACAACCAGAAAGACTGCCTTTTGAGCAATGGCTTACGTGACCAATCACAGTACTGAGGACAGTTTGGCTTTCATTTAACATACTTTAGAATTTCAGAGATTCTTCAGCACTAAAAATGCTGCTAATTGCTCTTTCAAAGGCAATTTTTCAACATGTTTCTTTAGTGTACGTGGGAAGAAATAACATAGCTAAATCATATTTTTAAAAGTGTCCAGATTCAGAATACGTCCATGTTCCATTCCCTATGTATAGAACTAGAGCAACTGAAAGATTGGACAGTGGATTCATGTCATTGTATACATCATGATGCGTAAAGGTTAAAAAGTGAATTTGCTATATGGTACAAAGACACTTTGAGACTAACTGGCAAGCCAATCTCTAGGTTACCCATGGTTTAGTTTTTCCTTCGATAAAAATGCCTGCTTCAATTCTTTATGCATTATTGGTATTGGCCACAGGAAGCTTTTGCACCCTAGCTTAGATGATGTTTTCTTTGTTCGGATTTAAATGTGCATTGTTTTAAAATGATTTTAGTTGGATCTTTTCCTTATGTCTGATCCATTGGTACTAAAGCCATGATTTTTAAAATGGAAAAGCACTTCTAGGACATTTATAGCTGGCTGGCTCCAGTCCTCTTCAAACCGAACAGCAGTATTGGGCTTTCGTGTTACGCCAACAAATAGCCCCTGCAATCTTAGGTTAAAAAACTGGGAAACTTCTGCTCTTTCTCAGAAAAAAATAAAATAAATTAATGCTACGAATAATAGAATTGTATGCACAAACAAAAAATAACAATTGGCATGGAGTTGAATATGGGGCAAACCACAGAACATGCAAAAGTTAAATGGCCATTGCAAATCTCCACAACAAAGGAGGAAGTACAAAGCACTTCCACTTTTTATTTTCCTCTATCTCTGCAACAAAGTCTTGCTCTGTGAGGCATGTGGGATTTACAAATGTGAGATAAAAGCTCTAGGCTTGGATATGTTTTGACCATGCAAATCTGTTCCTGATGATTAAAAATGACTGCACCACTATGATGGAAGCAACCACACAAGAGTTAGCAATGAGCAGTACTTTGAAGTGTATTTTCCTACAAGGAGGCAGGAGCATTTTACAGTAATTAGTAATTGTGGTGAACTCCAGCTCCTGGATCTAAGCAAAAATTAAGAGCCCTGCCACTTTTGAAAATAGAGGGTCCTAGTGCAAGAGGTAAGTAGTAAGGCTGAAGTCCACTTTCTCTTCCATTTGTATTGATTCTTGATCAGCAAGATTGTGATGACACTAGGAGTTTATTCAGCCTTGTTTTGTGTGGCTGAGCTATATTAAACATTTCATCTGTAGCAAGGAACATTGTAAAAAAAAGCTTCTTAATTTCTACTTTCTGATTCTCATTTGTTCCAGTTTATTTTGAAAATAAAAAAGGAAAATAAAATTAGCTTGTGGCACATAATTTAAAACCAGTTTTCTTTTACCTGTTGAAGCAGTTTCTATCACACATAAACTCTTTGTTTTCTATGTGCAATCTAAGCTTTTGTTATTTTCATTTAATATGTAGAACTGTATATAACCCATAGTTTTTCACATAGAAGAGCCTTTCTGAACTCATGCTGGAAGAAGCTAGGGAAGCTAGGAGAAGCTAAGCTCACATTGCAATAGAAAGCCCCATTCCTACTTTGGGGGTGAAAAACGTACAGTATAACTTGTTCCATGTGACTGAGGTCTACTAAAATAATAAGACTAATATTAGTAGCTGAGGATAAACAGACTTGGAGCCAGTCTCTCTTCTAGTTTCAACATAAGAACTTTCCCAAATAATGGGCACTTCCACAAACCATTTCAGCTCCCTACAAGCAACATGAAATGAACCTAGCCAACCATCTTGACTGACTTCAGAATGCTGAGAAGGAGTGTTCTCCCTTTAGTGCCAGTCAGTACCCCACCAAAGCTATCATTTGTCCAAACAACCCCACCCCTGCTCCATTCCACACAAAAAGGAAATTGCATACAATACATTGCTAACACCTTCCCCACTGTCAACATTTTCCATGCATTTGGCTATCCTGCCCCCCCATGCAGTAAAGCTACCCAATCGTCATGTATTAAAGCCCCATTGAAAACTGTGAAGATAGCATGGTACATCTTGCCACCAAATACTTCATTGTATCTAGCACCAGTTGAAATGGAAGGGGGCAATATGTAATTTTTAAGCTACAGGAAGTGCAAACTCATTGTAAGGGCAATTTGTGCAATTTCCTCTCTGTTGGACCAACCAAAATCCCCAATTCCCCCACTCACCCCCCCCCCCAAAAAAGTAAAAGAGAAACTAACATGTTCCTTGCTCCTTAATAGAACAGAAAGGGGAAAGAAAACTCACTTCCATCCCAGCAAGTCAGATTAGCGTTGCCCTTAAAGGAGCTACTAGAATGCTGGAGAATCAGGAGCTCAGAAGAATCCAGAGGCAAGAGGTCCCTTCCAATGGGGAAGCAGACTGCTTTTTGTTTGTTCTGCAGATCGGGTTACACCACCACTTAGTTGGAAATAAATTGGCTTAGCTTCTGAACTCAGGCAACTGTGTGCAATTACAGTCTGGTTCTGAACTGGCAGAGTCCTGGTGTGGAATGCCTAATGTTGTCTGGGAGTCTGAACTGGAGCATCAGCTACCAGCAATTTACCCAGGGATCCTTTCCATTTTTGCATTATATTAGCAGCACAGCAACTGCGGGAGTACGTGGAACACTCTACCAAAGTGAACCTTAGTGCAAGTACCAGAGGCAGCACTTTTTCTATTGCATTCAGTCTTCTAGATGGAAATAATGTCATTTTTTCTATTTTTCTGTCCAAAAACAATAGGACGGATTAAAGCAGCACGGTTATTTGATAAAAATCAGGGTAGAAAGGGTAGGACATAGTGCTTTACAAGATGATTGGTAGGGAGCAACTGGAACCTTCAGTATCCTACCACCATATGTGGGACTGTAGATGTGATTCGGACATCAGATTCTAAGGCTTGTGAAGAGATTCTCGCCCTACAAAGGAAGACTACATAACAAATTATCTTTTAAATAAATAAAATTTTTCAGGCATTTGTTTATTGGAGAGGTTGGCAGACTTTTTTTAAGATATCAAAACACCTTTTTTTAAAAAACAGACCAGATGAAACAAATGTTTCGATTCTACGGTCCAATTCTTAAAATTTACCATGCAAGATCCATTGACTTCAGCCAATCATAAATATGATTTTTACTGTATTCTGTGTCACATGTAATATTTTATCTTTCATACAAAAATTTATACAATAGCAGTGTTTTGCTGCAACTAACTGATGGAACGGAACAGAAGAGGGGGTCAACTGGAACTGGCCAAAGATGTATCCAGATGGTTATCCAGAGGCCTGGTTCTGTGTGAGTAGTGTGTAAGTGCAAAATCTCTTACATATTAACATCTAATTAAATATCAGATAATTGGTATCTTGGAGAAATCACTCACCTTTGCTGGCAAAATGCACATTTCAAAGTGTTAAATTATTAAAACCATCTGTTTTAGAAGACTGGCCTTTGAACGTACAGTAAATGAGGTGTTATGGAGAAAATTAGTATATTGCTAAATTTTTTTAGCACTGGCGCACAATCAGTCCCGAACACAATAAAAAGCAGCCTTATTCCAATATTAGAAGCTCAGTGAACGTTGTAAAGTTCTCCTGTATGTGTGTGTGTATTACACGTGTTTTCTCTCTCAAATTCAATATATCTTTGGAGGAGGAAGCCAATTTTCATGGTCAGGCTAACTGAACCCACACACACAACAGTATTTCTTCTCCATTTTACATTTGAAAAGAACAACAAATAATGAATTTGTGTATAACTGATTTATTTTTTTAAAAATGAAACTGATCATCAATAAGTGCAATTGAATTTTTCCATACATTCAACATATAATTAAAATATACAAAATTTCTTTACAGAATTTTTTCTTAAGGAAATAGTTTTTTAACTACTGAGGTGCTCTTTGGATACTCTTCCAAATGTATCAGAGCTGCTGATTGATGAGCAGCTTACCTGTGGCTGGGAGAATGCTTAAGTGAGTGATAGACAACCTGTGTCCTATGGAGAAATGTGGCCTCCCAACATCTTGAGAGGTGTTGAGATTTGATGGCAAAATAGCCAATTTTCAGGGACATGGGTCATCCATCCCTCCTCCCCACCTCCCCCTCCCCCAAAAAAGCTGGGAGAAAATTGATCCTCCTGCATCACTAGAAGGCATCCTGCATTTCTCCAGCTGATCAGGAGAGTGAGTTTCACCATTGTCCAATTAAAGATTGGCCACTCTTGGTTAAAATGTTCCAGTCATGCCAACAGAAGTGCCATGGGAAAAACCGAGACAATTGGCTCTCTTCTACGTGATGGATAGTTATGATCCCACTGGAATCAACTCATGTTGATCCCAATGCTGTATATGGGTAGTATTAAAATGTCCCTTTTCTTAAATACCTGGCTATCTGGAGTTCAGGAGAGTCCCACACAGTTAAATACTGCACAAGTGCACAAACTTCTCTAGTGGCATCTGTAGCTCTGCTGTGATGTTCTGAGCCTATATTTTAGTATTGACAGCAGAAGTTAAGAACCTGTGTACGGTAAGTCAACTGAAGAAAAACTGGGAGTGTGTGTGTGGAACACTATTAATTTTACCTTCAATAACACCTGTTATATAAAGAGGTATTTGACTATATGGAGGCTACGCTTATGTAACATAGCTTAGTCCCATACCTCTTTTCAAAAGACACTGGGAAAGCAAAGAGTATTACCCCATACAAAAATAAAACCTAGCATTGCAAGTTTAATAAATTCTGTTGTACAAGTAGAAATACAATCCTCACTACAGCAGCATACCAAGGAAAACTAAGATGGAAATATATAATTTAACAGACAACTGCCACAGTGTTCTAACACGGTTAGAACATTTGTGAAAAGGAGAGCAATGCAACATTCACATTCGGCCATGCCACATAAAATCAGCTTGGTAAGGTCACTTCAGGCACCAGGGAATAAGCAGGGAAGCCAATCAACAGCACAACTAGTGTTTCACACCAAGCTCTCACTAAAGCAGCTTTCCTGAGGTTTTACTTATTTGCCAGCTGGGCAGAGAGAGCTCCATTATAGCAATAGCCAAATGATATTGGCTATTACCTCAGCCTTGCCTTGCCTTGCCTTGCGTTTCTGCTGTTTAAGGGAGGGATTGAGTTCCTGCGCATTCAAAATTGCCATAGTGAAACAGCTTGTCCCTCAGACATGAAATACAGGAGAGGAAGCATGGCCAAGATCAGGTGTGCAAGTAGAAGAAATAAAGCAAAGCTTCTGATAGGCTCTCACTCTTGCAAAGGTGAAAAGTTGGTGTCTTCAGGTCACCAAAGGTTTGAGAGAGACAACTGGATGAAGCAAGGAGGAGGTCCAGCTGAAGAGTTCTGATCAGACTTGAATACGTTTTTTGGAGAATTTAGGGAATCAAAGTAACAATTTAATCAGCATTGAATAAAATGCCCCTCCGCATAAGATACATCTTACAGCAAAGCATATACAGTACATTTTATGGCTACGAGAACAGAGTGATTCCTGAAACACTGCAGAATGCATATATACCTCATAGCTATGAAAGCAAGTTTGTCTTGACAAGTAGCCAAGGAACTTTTAAAACAATTCAAGCAATACTTTTCGTGTAGCCCAATCGAATCTTAGAAGTCATATAAGTCTGGTGAATTCATTTTATAGATCCTGCATTTTTTCTATTCTTCTTGCAAATTTGCATCCCAGAGTGCTCTCAGTTACCTGCTATGGCATTGCTAAAATGAAGCAACTTTCAAAACTTCAATGGGCTTAGAATTACTATTATATTTCCCCCCCCCCTTTTTTTTAATAGACCCACTTCCTCCCAAACATAAAATGACAACATTTGGTATTAAACATTTAGAAAAATATCACACACAAACATTTTCTTTAAAAAAAGATTTGCTCTATTATCCAACTATTGCTCTTACTTCTTTATCCTAGTCTAGTGAACCTTATCTTTCATGGAGAAAAGCCTACTCAGGTAACATCTTCAGCTTAAAATGCAGTGCTACCGATAGTACTGTGGTTGACCTGTGTAGCTTAGGATTGTAACTTTAAGAATTTCATTGTGCTCACATTGCAAAGACAAGAGTTACATAACTCTAGTGGCTTTTCCACCAAACAAAAATACAGGAACAGTATGCAAATAATGCCTAAACTAAACACTGATTTTCTTTCAAGCTCTTCCTCTTTTACACATAAATCCTGTATAGATTCTGTTTGTAATTTCTCCAAGGTGGTCAAAATTACTCATCTTTCTGAGCTCTCTAAATACTTGCTGTGCATCAGTCTGTTCTGTTTGGCTGTAGTAGCATTTGTACCAAAATCACTAATTACTTTGATGTATTTATACATCACACTGGCCTAGCAGTCTGCAGATATATATTTAACACAGTTGCACAAAATCTATTTCTTGACATCATTCACTAAGCCACCTCTTCCTAGTATCAACCCCTACAATCTTATCAAGTGTCACCCATCACATTTTTTTAAAAACGGTTCTGCACTTTCATTTAAGGAATGTAAACATTCCAAATACATAACCAAATGCATATGTTATATAAATAGGTAAACGCTTCAGACAAAATACTCCAACTTTTATGACTGACCTTTGAAAAAATAGCATTGAGAACAACCAGCCCTTCTGATACACACATTCGTCCGTGCACAGATATATAGAGAATTGAGTCGGACTGAAGAAAATAAAAGAAAACCCCTTACTGGAACCCCAAAGAGGAGAAACCATTTCAGTGAATATGCAACCCAATGAAATGAGGAAAAAATGCCAGAAGTGTCCATGTAGGTGTGCATCTTTGATTCTTCTATTCTTAGTTCCTCAGAAACACAGTAGGTACAAGCAGAGCTGAAGCTAAGGCTGACTCCAAACCTCTTCTACATCTCAACTCATAATTGCTTCTACCCTGTGCTTTAAAGTGCCTTTGTACTGGCTGGATGTGTTGAATGTGGAATGGGTTTCTGTGGGTAGCAGCTGAAGAAGTAAACCTGCAAAAGGATGGCCATGTCCACAAAAACCTGGAGAAGTCCACACACCGAGAACTGGAACGGAGCTTGATTGAGGAGGAAATACACTGTCTTGAAAGTGTCACCGCTGGTCCACATCAGCACCATCTTTACACTTAAAAGGGAGAGAAAAACAAATTAAAAAGAGATAAAGAGCACTAATAAAGGTATTCCCTGACCCAGATGTTGGAATTCCACTAATGGCAAAGCAAATATTTCCTTTTTATGAAGAAAGAAAGCATTACAGTGTTTATCCAAATAAATATCAAGGCCAGTAACAGAGATAACTAGAAATCGCTATTACGAATATTCTGATATAATGAGTAATAATGTTTGATCAAACGTTGTTGTAAGGCTGATAACACATAGGATATATCTTTTGTTTGCTCTTCTGCAAAGTAGTTAGTCATAAAGCTATCAAGTTCATCAAGACCATACCACAGAATGTCATACAATGCATAGCCAAATACATCTTTCAAGGCTAGATTCATTTACAAATACACATGCATACATAAATACAGATACATCTCTTAGATTTTTCAAAAGATACCCACATAAGCAGACTTATGGGAGAAGCAATGGTACAGGAGTAGCAATTAAGGTTTGAACCACCTTAAAATTTGCAGTGCTGCTAGCTACAGCCATGCTCACAACAATTCTGAAGTCATCTAATACTTCCTATTTTATAGATGGGTAAAGGAGTCTAAGAGATGACAACTTGCTGAAGGCTAAAAAGGAGATGACCTAGTTTAGATTATAATATCTTGTCTTAACCAAGTAAAGTTGGACAACCCTTTTGCCCATGAACTTGGGTAAACTATGCTTTAATTACATGATTAGGTCTTCAATTTACCAATGTTCCTCCATCTTCAAAACAAACCAGGATATTAACTTACATTTAAGATCCTGGGTTATTTCTAGAGGTGTGCATGAAACAGAAAATCTGTTTGTTCCATGCATGGAACAAATACATTGTGTTTAGGGGATCAACTGAACCATTTTGGATGAGTCATGGATTGGCTGAACTGAAACTTGGAATATCTTGATTGATTCATGTTTCAGTTTAGAGATGTTCCAAGTGGGTCCTACAGGATGAGTAGAGCAAGCTTGGGGCACCTTGCTCCTCTCTACCCTCTATCTTTGCATGGTTTGTGCAGCAGTTCTTCCTTGCCCTTAGCCACCACGCTTGAATTAAAGATGGCATAGCCAAAATGGCTTCTCTTTGATCCTCCCACCCAGCACTTTTCTTCCCTGTATCTTTGCTTAGCTGCTGCTGCCATAAACTACTGCTGCTGCTGCTGTCAATGACTTTGCCATTTTCCTGCTGTCTTCCACCACAGAACATCTATACTGACCCAACATACTTGTTCTGGGTCTACATCTAAGCCAAACACTTTGGTCAGTATATGGACCACCTGAATCTAGCTGTTCCATGCAAGACCATTTTGCACATTCCCTGTGATTTTAAAGCTAGACATACCTTCTCAAACAAAAATGGAAAATTAAGTTAACTAGAGGTTTCCTGATTTAATGATAGCATATAATAAGGACTGCGCGCATGGGCATCACTTGAATACAAAATCTGTCCAATGCTGCCAGATAATTAGATTTTGTGGACACAAAGAAATAAAGTAAGTGCACCAAACTATAGAATTAACAGTACTAAAGAAAAGATTTAACATTCTTGTTATTTTTAAGCCATTATTTTGTAGTTTAAAGCACAATAATATTCTGCTTTCCTCACCACATATTAAAACGAAAGCAATCTTAAATAGCTTTTATCATTTGAAAGCTAAATGTTTCATTAATGCATTATAAATAGCAAGACTCAAAGACATCACCAGCTTTTAAGTGACTTTGTCTTAGTACATTATAAATGAATAATCGTTTAAATGGAAATTATAAGAAATGCCCAGTAAAAGCTTCAGAATTGCTAGAATAAATTAAAATATATTGTGCATCATGTACAAAATATAATTGAAAACCCCGAGCACTTCAAGTCTTATTTACAATTTATGATGTGCAACCATGGGTATGACTGAATTCAGATATGGCCCAGTTCTTATCCAACCATTGAAATAAGAAAGGGAGCCAGAGATACAGGTTAGAAAGGATAAACTTTATATTAAGACCCAAAAATGTATTCAAAAGTTGAAGAAAGAGATGCACAATCGTCAATACTGTCATTTAAGAATAAGCTTCACTGCATGACATGTAATTAGGACTGTACTATAACTTGAAGATAGCAAAAATATTTATTATATTTGTGCATTAACTTTATCGAAATCTAATGACCAAGGCTAAAAAGCTGTCTTCTACAAGAGAGATGAGCAGTTTACTCATGCCTGAGATGCTACTTCCCTAAGGACAGTGTCTGAAAACTCAGTAGTAGTTTATATAAAATATATTTTAGAACAGGCTAAATTAATTAAACATAGATCCCCCCTATGGGACTTGAATTCAACTAATCAGGATTCAGTCCACTATCTGTTGGAAGGTACTCATGCACACATACACTTCATTTGGTTTTCCTGGTAATCCATGTGGATTGGGAATAAATAGCCCAAGGATCAGCCTGCCTATCTGGGCAATCCATCCCCAGTAATTTAGAGAAGTGCTGAAATTTCCAGAAGAGAGTTTGTGTCTAGCTGTATTGTCAAGTTCAGGCCAGAGGTTCCCAAACCTTCTCAATTCATGGCACCTTAGCATCTAAGTAATGTTTTCACAGCGCCCCTAGACCGAAAAGACTGCCAAAAACTCAGCTCCGCAAAGATCTGATGTTGCAAAACCCAGCTTTGCAAGTGGACATCACAAAAACGTAAAGCATCTTGCGTGGGAACCATGGGCTCACACCTTGAAGGTTCCATGAAGAGATCCACGTACCTAGGAAGCAATCATTTTCAAGATGACTACCTATCGCTACAAACAGGGAAATGGTTGAATGTTCGGAATGTCTTCTGCGTGACTTGGAGTTAAGGCAGCAACCCTGTAAGTGAGACCTAATCTGATTTCTGTCTAAAGGAAGACCGCAGTCGTACCTGCGTAGAACATTCTCCAGCACTCAGTATATATGAAGCTATAACAATGAACACTATAGACGGTAATGAAGCATTTATACATCCACTAAACATCAGGAATGTAACAGCAGGATTAAATATAACTTTCAATGAACTATAGTCTCGGACTTTAAAAAAAAAAAGAAATACAACACTCTCAATATTTTATATGCAGAGCTTGGGTACTTTTTCCTGTGGATCCAATCCTACACTTTCACACAAAGGAGTTACAAAACTGATACACCATCCTGAAAAAAGTTATATCTGGTTAATGACAGCCCCTCTAAATAAACAAAGAAAACTCCCAACAGTTCTCTTTCTCACAAACATAAAGCGTTTTCTTTCATTTTTAAAAAAAATTATGCTTCCCACTCCTGTATTTATGCACGAAGGCTCAGAAGCAATATCCAAAAATAATAAGCATAAGTTGTTAGGCAGTGCTTTAATCTGTATCTATAGTTCTACAATATGCTGAAGTTATTTTAACTCCTTTATTCATCCTTTTTTATTTCAAGTTTCCGTAGAAGCCGGGGGGGGGGGGACGAAAACAACACAGTTGTGACAGGCTCAAATTAATGAAGTACATTTTGTCCAGAGGACTAGAAAAAAGGAGGGCTGCCCCCTCCCTTCTCAGCCGGTCATCTGGTACAATCCATGACATGAAAATTTCTGCTTCCTGTATGCTCCCATTTAAGACATTATTGCCTCTTCACTGCACAGCTGCCCCTCCCCCTGCCCCTCCCACTTCAAGATAATGGAACTTTTGCATATGCCTAAGGAAATCAAGCTAGCTTTCTGCCATCGGAATCAGCTGAAAAAATGTTGCTTTCTGCAAATGCCGAACAGCTGCTCGGGCTCACTCTTACTTCTGAGGGACAGAAGAGGCAAAAAACAGAACGAAAGTCCCAACAGGCAGGAAGCTAGAAGCAGCATGCAATCTGTCTGCAAGCAAGCGAGAAGCCAAGTGCACGGACAGATAGGAGTTCTATCACACAAAGGTTATTTTCCTCGTTTTGAGCAGCTGTTCTACAGAACAGTTTTCCTCTCCATTAATAAAAAGGGGAGATATGTAACAGTGTTGCAATTCTGTGAAAAGATCCAGAAGTGTTTTGACAACTTAGAAATATGCTAAGAAGGGTCTGCATTCGGGCTAGCTAAGTTCATGTCACATTTTTTCCGCCAAAGACATGACATTAATGTAGTGTGGAAATTTACGGCCAAACCTGAAACAAGATTACATCCAAGAAGCCACCAAGTGATTGTTATTAATCATTCATGAGTGTCAGAATATATAATCAGTGAAACGAAAAATAAAAATAAAGGCTAAATCCTACAGGTATGCAGCACTACCATTTAGTGGCCATAAAGTTCCAAGTTGTAAAAGCAAAAATAATGCTTGCACAACACCAAAGACAAAGGCAAGTAGTTGAGAATTGCCATCAACTGCCATTGTTGAGGACTCATAAACCAAGGGCATCTGTGCCAGGGGCCATAGTGTCAACAAAGTCAAGATGGCAGCTATGACTGCAATCAAAGTACTGCCCTTTTTCATAGGCATTGTGTCGCACAATGACAATAACAAAGAGGCAGGGCTTTCTTTGTGTCATCACAGCTGCCATCTTGACTTTTTGACCCTGCCCTGCAAACTAAAGCCTGTAACAGCCCTGTTAAATGAAAACCTAAATAAAGTACACAAATATTGTGTGAAACACCCAGAACTATATTTCCACAGCAGTCTAACTTGTATCATACGTTCTAACGCTGCGCACGCTTTGAAGATGATTTGGAGGAATGGTTGACTAAAACACCCCATCATTTTTCAAGCCGCTGTTTTAAGGAGTCAACCCATTAATGTGAAAGCATCTCCATTTTTTAAGGCTTATTCAGAAGCCAGAAAACGACAGCTTTCTTCAGCGAATAGGAACTTGGCAAGTTCAAAAGCAGTTTTTCCACATCTTTTCTAAGTACGCACAGCCCTAATATGTCCTGATCCCAACATTCTGAAGAACTCTTCCCATTATATCTAATGTTTCTGTGACGAGCACATTTTCTGCAAACC